TGTGTGTGTGTGTGCGTGTGGGAGGGATGACGGTATTATATAGCATCATAGACAAGATTATGTACAACTGGGCTGCATTTCATTGTGGTGCTTCATGTCATAAAACGCAGAGTATTTATGCTTGCTTAACTGTGTCATTAGAATAGTAGTAATGGCAGTTAATTAAACTAATTGATTTTAATTAAGTCTACAAAGAGTCTCTATGTACAAGTCTGGATTTTTATGAAATATATTTTACGTATTTCTACAGAACAATCACCATTTTGCCACATTCTGTATTTAGTGAAAATGATTAGCTAAAAGCTGTGGGTTTTAGTTTTATATATTTTTCTTGTTTAAATTATACACGGGTTTCAAGAGCTAAGCTACACAAGAGTGCAAGTGGAAGCTGTTTCTATACTGTACTGTATAGTATTCAGGCTGCCACACTTTATAACATAAACAAGGTCACAAAGAAATCCCCTACAGAGAATTGTTTCTGTCAGGTTACCTGCCCAACTCCACATCCCTCGACAGCCACAACACACAGCAAGAGCGTTTGAACAGCAAGCTTGTTCTTCTCAGTCCTTGTTGTGCCTTGTTACTTTGGGTGCTTCAATCCAGCCATGGCAGCCAGGTCCGCAAACAACAATGCCAATGTCTTTCTTTACTTGTTTCATGTGCCAGCACACTCACCAATATGATGACGACACCAAACAATATTCTCCCTTGTCTGTCTCCCAAATCCAGATCAAGCCAAGTTCTCAATTCTGTCAGCTCACACCTCAGTCGACAAGGCTACTTAGTCTTACAGTTTCATCCAAGTTGTCATCCACAGGACTGTACTGTTACAGTGTATTAGTTACAGTGTTACAACTGAACTTCACATTGACAGAACCAAGCGATGGGTACCGTGTGAAACTCAGTTGTTGGTTCTGTCAAAGACACAGGAGAAAAAGTAAGGCAATACTGAACAACTTCCATACTTGAACGTAGGGTTCCTCATCTTTATTATGTTCGAGTAAGCTAAATCACAGCACCCCCAGTTGATTTGGTCATTGATTGTTTTGTACTTTTGTCTATGCCTTTACATCTTTTTTCTGTCTTGCAATGATGAATGATTTGTAGTGCCAAGACGTAAACTCTCTGTGTCGTTTGTCTCGTGTGAACAATACATCCTCTAGCCAAAACAATAATGCCTGCAGTTGGAATAAAACATGGAAGAAGTCAATGATGACAAAATGCGCAAAAAAATCACTTATGTTGCATTTTCTTACAATGGAATGATGAAACAGGCCCGATCACGGATTCAATTTTTGAATAACCGCGTTTCCTTGTTTTCCCACCGACTCCCAGCATGCCTTTAGAACTCATTGTGAGGTGACCCTCAACATTTAGCATGAAAGTGCTCTCGACTGCACAACAAACTCTCTGATTTCTGCATTAATGTGTAGCAGCAGGTCATTGTAGTGTTTGACTTGGTTTAAGTCTGTACCTTTGTGTCATGACCATCTATTTGACCATTGGAGCAGTATGTTCAGATGATAAAACGGTGCATTTTTTTTTTTTCAGTTTACTTTGGATAATTCTTTGATTTTTGTTAATAACCTGGTGCTGAATAAATACATTTAAAAGGTGCTATCACTGTGGACTGCAGTCCACATTTTGGCTTTCTGAGAGCATAGCCTTCCAGTTGACTGAAGGGCCTGTTGCCTCACAAACTTACAGTCCCAAAATGCTCCAGAGCTAGCATCTCAAATCCACACAGTTTACAGCAGAACTCAACTCTCAATGGTGCCATTTTGATTTTCCAATCTGCACAAAATAACAACCGTTACTCTACTTTTCATATAATGTTTATTATACTGGTTTCAGCATACAGTATGTTTTTTATTTTTACTATGTTTTAATCTGCACTAGGATTTTTTTTCTTTTCTCTGAGAGAATGAAACTGGCAGATGACAAAATGCATCTTTTTGGCAAACACACAGGAGCACAAATGTACTTCTGCTACTGGAATTTGGGTAAAAAAAATATATAGAACGTGATTGCTGTGTTGTAAATTCCTGTCATCTATATGTCCTTAATCTGTGTGTATCTATTTTTGTTGTTATTGTAGAATTGGCTGTAATATTTTGTTTAAAATGGATTTGATATTCCAATGAAGCGACTATGGTTGTCATATTAATTGCTGCTGATTTTTGAAATTGTTATCAAAGTTGTTGGAAATATTGCTTTGTTTATATTCAATCAATTTCTAGATTGTGTTAGCTTGTTGGTGTATTTCACAAATCTATCAGGATACTCCCTAGATGATATGATTTATTCGGGGTATTCCAAAAGTTGGCACAATGTCAGTAAGCAAATTCGCTACAGTCCGTAGCATCTTTACGAAAGTGTACTCGTACAACCTATGTTGTGACTGAGAACATATAAGGAATGATTTCTCTGTTGTTGTTAAATATAAAATGTAAGTAAATTGTTTCATGGAATCCCCGTTCTTTAAAAAAGCAAAACTGATGTCCTATTTTTGGGAACAATATGAATATTATTAATAACATATGGTGCTAAAGTTCTTTTTGTATGTTTTGGTTTTTAGATGAAAAGAGAAATATTATGCTGAAAATGTAATGTTAAGCCTTACTGTAGATTCATATATCAGACTGTTCATCCCAGAAGAGAAAAATAAATATAGTATTTGAAAGTGCAATATATCAGTACTGTATTCACATGCACGCTACACATTTCAACAGATGAAAGCAGCTGCAATATATGGACTGCAGAAGTGTACGATGTGAGCCTACACACTTTGGTCTAAATGAGAAAAGTTTAGTGAATGTGTCCTAATATAACATGTGTGATTAGCACATCTTTAAGATATGAAATGTATAAATGCCTGAACCTTATTTACTTTGATTAGACCTCTGCAGGTTAAAGTTATGTTGGGAATTACTGCATGTTAGGCCACCAAACCGATGCGCTAGTAAGAATGAGAAAAGTCTAAGTTGTCTCACACACACAGCAACAAAACTACAAGAAAGTGAGATACCTAAAGAAAGAAGTGCCAACACCTGCGGAGTTTGACTCCTTTGGGGCTTTTAACATGGGTGCAATAGATTAAATTCCTTTGCTAATCATTTCACTATTTATTTTGCAAACTGGAACAATAGTTAAAATATACATGCTGAGGGGTGGGCATAGTTTGTCCGTAACTTGCATGGGCAGTCCTATGGCCAGTGGATATCTGGAGGATGAGTCTGAGGTCATCCTTAGATGGGCAAATTTTGCAAATGCAATATGAATCACTTTAAAATATACAGTACATTGGGAGGTTACATCTGCTGAGAACCCTATATTTTATACTGTACATAAAATAAAAGGCCCCACAGACCTAAACACAAAGTTACTGAATTTAATACTTTGGCAGATCCTCCGTATTCCATCATACCTGCATTCAGGCCAATATGTATTGCACAGACCTTTAACATAACAAACGCAGACCCGATACCTGTAGTTCAGCATTTAACAGTTACAATTTATGAAGATATCACAAACACTTGTTACAAATAGCAGACACAGTAACCTTCACCTGTTTTATACACAGGTTTGGGGAAATAAGGAGAGACGAATATGACATGATTAAAAAGTAAATACCACTTAGAGTCACAGGACATGTTCAGAGCTTACCCTTCTTTTGTCGGCACCCATGCAGCCAACCTTTGCGAGTGACCGGTTTCCTCTGGTTCCTCTTTCATATCATCTGCCTGTATCTTTGCATGTTTCTCCACATGTCTCAGCTGCTTCTCTCTCTTTGTTGCTGTCTTCATTCTTGTCCTAGTAAAACAGAGACAGTAAATTAGACACTTAAAACTGTCTCTTACCTCCCTCACAAATGTTGAAACACCTGTTTTTTTCACAGCCTCACTGTGAGTCTTTTCAGGGAACAACATTTAATCTTAGCAGGAAGGCACAAGTGTAACAGCTGTTTGTAACTATTGTTTACAAATCCTGTGCATAAGGAAAAAATGTGAGAGTTTGGCTTGTCTTACAAGTTGTCATAAAGTAGATATTAGCCTGTAGCAAGCACATAATATAGCAAACAAATAAAGCAATAGAAGTAGCAATGACACAACGAAACAGCCTATTTACAGTAAAGGGGTTACAGTATAGTCACCATTAATCCAATTCTTGTCAGTATTTACATAATTATTTGGTCTTTAGAGAGTCTCTGTCATTAAATAAATGTATCTTCTTTATTGTAGTTAACGACTTAATAGGGTGGCCGTTAAGTGACACCACAGCACCGTCCGCCTGGCTTCTGTATCCACTCGGCGGTATTATCACTGTAATACACAGTAGCAGCTGTTTTGGTTTGTGCAAAGCAAAGCATGCTGGACCACAGTTTAACGCCCAAAATGGCGGCACGATTGAAAAGTTTTGCCTGTTTTATCCGAGTTTGTCTTCTTCACAGACTGTTTCTGTAGTTGTTCTGGCGGCACTGGGGCGTCTCGTTTTCACCGTGGTGGCACACCGGTATTTTTTCTAATGGTTGCCGAAGGAGGCAAACATCAGGATGGCGCTTTGCTATCAGCTCAAATTCGGGCATCACTTTAACAATGTTAGGCTAAGCTAAGCTAGGCTAGGCTAGCAGGCTAACTGCTGTCAGATGAGTGCTGGTTAAAACCTTCGGTAGTTATGTCTTGTCTCACCTGGATCTCCGCGCCGAACTGAATATGTAGAAGAGGACCTTTACATAGAAATGGAGGATGATGTGAAAAAAGTGAAAAAGGTAAGTCGGGCAATTTCCATACTTTAGTACTGTGAGTTGACCAGCTAGCATGCTATCCTGCTGGCTAGTCAGAGCAGGGGAGTTAGCTGTTAGCTAAGTTGAGCCAACTATCAAGTAAGCAATCAGCGGACACCAGCAAAAAGCTCTCACAATAGCACACTGACAGATTCGTGTGTTTTCTATCAACCAGCGACACTTTAAATGGGAATAAATGTGTTATTTACAAGAATGTAGGTTCAATAAAGGTAAGTGGAGCGCAACAGATTGAGCCTAAAAGAAGCGAGTGTAGCGTTACAAGTTAAGTTTTAAAAACGTGTAACATCAAGTTACAGGATGTTTGTGTTTCTCATGCTTACACGTGTATGATATTTACTTTGCTTTGGCGTGCTTAAAGCGTGTTCAGATGTACTGCATGTTCGCTGTGGTAAAGTTCAATGAAGTTATTGTCCATTGTTGTATTCATAGGGCTAAATGTGTTATCCGCTGTGGGACGTTTTAACAGCCAGGGGTGATGCTGGTAATGTCACAGGAAGCTAATGAAAGCACACGCAGGTTTCCCTGGGAAATAACCCTCGTTGTTCATCTGTGTGCTCACCATCAGCTGTCAAAGGCTGGGGTTATCAGTGTCAGTCATGCTAAAGGGAATCCGCAGCCCTTGCTTGTACCGACAGACATACAGCACATACCTACCTAATGGTCTTGCTATGGAGACACATCTTTATGTTCAGACACATAGCTGACATTTCTTTTTATCTGTTCTTCCCACTGTGTCTTAGAGCAGACACGTTCCTCTGTATATGGCACAGGAGGAAACTGAAGGGCAGCACCCAACCAAATCTGGGCAGGACATGACACCGACAAGCTCTCGCCGCCTGTGCAGTGTAATGAGAAGTGTCTCTGGGGTTATAGCGTATTTGCTGTTGCTATGTTGTGCTGGTCATTCCGTCGTGTCTCCGTGAAAATAACACGAGAGTTACTTCCAGCCTCCTCCTTGATGTGAAGGGAAATTTGAAAAGGGAAAGGAAGTGATATCCTCGTGTTAAGAAGGTTTGTTGTGGCAAGGAAATGTTTTTCTCAGCAGTGTTAACCCAGTCTGCTCTTGGTTTGACAAGGCATCCCTTTAAAGCTCCCCCACAAAAAAAACCTTATCACATCAAGATTCCTAGTTGTGACTACAAAAAAAGTTGGATTCATATATATATATTTAAAAGTCAGATATCCACAGTTGGGTTTTGAAGTTTTAATCTCAGTGTGAATTCATGTTTCAGCTTTATGACCTCTTTGTGCTGACTGTCAGTGGCAGGAAAGGTGAAAACGTGTGCTCTTGTCGATTAGGTTCAGCACTAACTCGTCTGGGTTGATGATCTTTAACTGTTGGGGATCAGCGTTACCATTGAATACAGTTCTTGTTTGTGCCACTGGATGGTGATAGTGAGCAGCATTTGACCCAGATGTATGTTTTATATTCACTGTGCAGAGTATTACTTTATTACACAGGTTCAAGTGGAAGCTAAGAGCCCCTTAATATAATAACAAGTTCGAGTGTTACTTTGACTTTGCTAACTGACTAATTTATAAAGTGTCCTACGTGTCAGGGAATCTGGGGAGACGTATTGATCTTATCTTTCTGGAGAAGTTTAGGAATTTCATCAGCTCAATTACGCTACAGGAACATAGCAGGATGAGCGCTGTCTTGACTCACACATGCATTGTATTGGTTTACTTTCAGCCCAGCTGGAGTGGTAATGTCTTAGAAACAATAACAAATCAAGAATGAAGAACATCCTCCTGTAACGGAAGTGCTGCAGCTCCGATCTGGAAAGGCAGGGAAAGATGATGGCATTCTACTTTAGGTTTTACTGAACTTTAGGTGTATGGGGGACAAAAAGGTGTTAGGTTACAACAGGTGGTGTTTATTTGCTGGGTTGGAATTGGTTGGTATTCTTATACTCTGTCGTTTCACACTGAATATGGTTAAATAAAAGCAGCAGTGATTTTCTGCCCTCCTATTCTTCGGTCCAAGTTTTCCTGCATTGTTTTTAAGTGTGAGAAAGTTGGAAAGGCCACCTGCACTTGTTGTCACCCTGGCCATAACAGCACAAAGACGCCATACAGTATCCTCACTTATGGTTCTTTTGTAAGCAGCCTTTACCAGGAAAATTGCACTTGTTCATCTTGAGGACATTCACTGGGGTCAGTTACGGTGGCTCTTGTCTCACATTTCACAAGGAAAAGCCATCAAATGTTAATGCGCATGTCTTCACAAGCTACTTACTGTTCAATAATGCACTTGGAGGTTGTGCTGTTTCAAGTCTAAAGTCTGATCACGAACCAAATTACAGGTACAGTGTAAGAGTCATAAACCTCTGTGATCCTTCTGCGCCCGTTCCAGGCTTTTCTATGGGACGCTCAACTTTGTTATCAATGAGTTGATATAACTATACTACTTTTACTACAGTACCCCTAGTATGGTGCTCCTATTGTAGACTGCTAGCCAACATGGAGATGATCTTGATTCACTTTAATGCTTGTAGAGGAAATGTATTACTTTTGATGCAGTGTCTGAAAGGAGGAAATAAGTCCTATAGAGCTACATTAGATCGCCTGCACTTTTGGCCTCATTGAATCTGCAGTGTAAACAGTTTTGCAGAAGTGACATCTGTGGTTCACACAGTAGAAGAAGGTCTTGTATTTCTGTGGTTTGGCAGTGATGTACAGAGCTTTAGCTGCAGAGTCCTGAGTGAGTGATGGAAGGCAGCCATCATCACATCGCAATACAGTGTAAAGATCTGGGGCAGAAGCGATTGTCACCACACCCCGTTGTCTTTGACATCTATGAAGCATTCGTTCAAAACAGCTTGAGACGTGTGATGCCGTTTTTGAGTTGTTTCCATATTCAAAGTCAAAAACTTGTAGGCGCGTGTCAACGCAGGAAGTTGTGGCAAGTCCCCTTCCTGTTCTTGTGACTGAGTATAGAGACAGAGACACTTTCCTTCCTCTGTATGGGGGTCACACCCCTCGCATACACACTTGGGCTGAGTTTGATCCCGTACGTCTGTCATCAGTTGGCAGCTGTCGGTGCGTGTGAGTTGGGACGACAGGTGACTAGTTCCCACAGTGCGAGCGTAGCAGCATCTGTGACCAGGCTGCGTGCTTGCCGTTGAATAGGCGACTTTCCGAGCGCGTGGGTTCATGGAGAACGAGGTAGGCTTTTTAAAATGCTTATTGCGTATTACACATCGGCTCAACAGCATGGACAAAAGGTATTTTTGTTAAGCACACTTAACTGAACTCTTATCAGTGCTATGCTGTTGACATTTTACCAGGTAATACAAGAGCTAAAGGATGATAGAATTTCATGCTTTTTAACTGGTCATTGGCAAAAAACCCAACTTCTAAAGTTAATCTAGAAAGATCTTTAAGAAAAAAGGAAAACAGTTGTCTTTTGTGACTCCTCTGTGGCAGCTGGTCGGTGATGTTAAGGTGAGGTTAATGTGCAGGATATAGATGTTAAAATGTGATCCTCCATCATGTTTTACCCTGACTACAAGTGCTACCACTCCAGTATTGCAAAATGCAGAGTTTCCTTTTGCACATGTTATTGTTGACATTTGAGCAACACGTATTGGGTAACACAGGCCTGTACATTTGCACTTCCAAAGAGTCCATCTGCTCAGTCTTAACTGCAGCTACCAGCACAGTCAGGGGAAGCAGGGTCAGCATAATTTGCAAGGAATAAAAGTCAACAGAAGTTTTATATAGTTTCATATCATTTTCTGCTTGTTGTTTTTTAGAGGGGCAGACATTAAACTTGTACCTGCCTTTGCAATTGCTTTACTGTGTTGCCAGCTCATTGCAACTACACCATATGTATGCTGTGGACCTGAATAGTCCTTTAATTATTAATAATATACTGTTGCGTAGAAACCCACAATGCCAATGGTGTATAATTCAGAGAATATGAAATACCACATATCCACACAAATTGAGTCTTAATTTCTTACTGCATTTTCTAAGGTGGCTTCACAATCTTGTAATTTCTCCCAACCTCGCTCTCTTTGTCTTCATTCCCCAGCCTGGTATCGTGTCTCCGTTCAAGCGAGTCTTCCTGAAAGGAGAGAAGGGGAGAGACAAGAAGGCCCAGGAGAAAGCCACTGAGCGCAGGGCCCTCCACACCTTCTCACTCTCTCAGCCTGACCACCGAATAGACCCTGACATCCTGCTCAATGACTACATTGAGAAGGAAGTCAAAGTGAGTATGACTAGCAGATATATAAGTCCCTTCCCATGTATTCAAAATGTTGTTTTACAGGGCTGCACAAGTAATCGAAATATTATCAAAATTGTAATATGGCCAAGTGCAATATACAAATGCAAATCGCAAGAGCTGTACTGTTTTGATAAAGGTCAAATGTGTGACAAAGCAGCAATATAATCTGTCTCTGTGCTGCAGAGGAGCCCTGGTCTACAAATCTTGTTCTCCAGATTTAAGAAAACATGTTTGTTTGCTACAGACCCCCCAACATGTCACATCATCATGATTTTAATAG